GTTTCAACTTTCCTTTCATTGCTGCTGGAATATTTACAGAGAGTGCCCGCAACTGGCTGGCTGAAACGTGAATTTGGAAAGCTTTTATTTCAGTATTTATTGCAAATACAAAAAACTGTTTTAGCGTAAAGCATGAATTATATGATATTTGGGACAAATTTTTCAGTAAAGTCCTTTATTGTTATAAATTTTTCATTAAAATCTTTTATTGGTACAAATTTTTCAGTAAAACCTTCTAAAAGGATCTCCAAAATTTCCAAATGATTAGTCCGGGTTAAGACTCCTGAGAGCCAATAGAAATGGAATTTGGCAAGATGTACCGCCATTAGGCCAAAGTTTTCTTGTTGCACACACATATCTAACAAGCTTCGTATTAATTTATTTCATTTTGAAGATTTTTAAGTCACGAAAAGAACATACAAACTGCTGCAGCAGTTTTCGCGTTTGGAGTGTTTAGGCAGTCGCCAATCCCAAAAACATTTTCGAACCGTTTGCTGACCAGCAAATCCGGATCCACATCCAGCCAGCCTTTCTCATCGGTTAAATCTTTGCACTTCCGGAGAGGCTCGACCGGTGAACATGGTGGTGCCACGTGAATCAAATCGTACTAAAACATCGTCCAAAACTTTGTTTCTTGTTATCTGTTGCACTATAGGATTTGTTCACATCCAGTACAAGTTTCTTCCACTTGATAATAGTGGGGAGCATATTACTGTCCAAAGTAAATCTACGCTTCAGGCAAACATTATGCAGTTAGGAGAGACTCATCTAGTACAAGGCAGGAAGGATTTTACGAAAACACGGCACTTTCACATATTTTTCAAAAAGCATATTGGCAAGTACCTTATCAACTGTCTTTTCAGTATTAGCTCAGCTTAACTACAGTTCATAACGTTGTCCTCTCGCCACGAAGCTGGCGTTTTAAAACCACTACTACATCACTTTCGTACTCATCTTGCTAACGATCCTGACGCTCGCTTCATTTCTTGAAAACATTACCAACTCAATGGTTCTTCCGACAAAAGCACTTGCTGAAGCTTTAGCTGTTTCGAGATGTCACTAATGTGTACTGAGCATGTTCACCTGGGCCGGAATGTTGCAGTTCTAAATTAACTTCAACAAAGTATCTCGGCGGCGGAAAACCGTGAAAAGCCTGTCAAGAAGCCGACACAAAGAAAAATGTGGGGACTGCCTCTGTTGCGAACGGAGCCCTTTTTCGAAAATCATTCTTGACCAGCAGGGAATCGAACCACTCCCTTTCACGTCCGGACGCAACGTGTTACCACTACACCACTGATAGAAAACAATTTTCGAGAAGGGGCTCCGTTCACGATAACCTCGGCAGCTTGGATGTTTCTTCAATAACGTGATAAATTCAATAGATGTTTAATATATTGATATTTTGTCGCCAATCAGAAGAAAACTAATAAACACACGATTTGAAATGATTAGAAGAGAATGCTGTTTTCACCTTTCTTCCCCGATCCCTTCGTTATGCTTTTGGTGCATAAATACAAACAGATTCATTTCAAAGCTTCAAATTTGTAGAAAATAAAATGAGCTTACATGAAAATCGACCGTTTTGCCGGTGGGTTTGGCTGTATCATCGAGAAGCTCGAAGCTAGCAGTTTGCGTCAGCGGATCCACTTTGATCAAATTATGCCTCGTATTGAGTTCTATATTCCTGTCCTGTATAACTTTCATCAGTCCCTTCGCGTACTTCTCCACGCCAAATATCCGTCCCAGTGATGTGTTATACATCATCCTAGTCCGATCACGCACGCCACTCTGCAATGTAGCAGCGAACTCTCAAACATCGCCATCAATTGTGCTGCAAATGTTCATATCAGCTGCGGGAGAAAATGTGCCGGGATAAACGGATTTGGCATAGCTCTGTTGGCCCCTGGCTGTATATTAAAGTCAATGACGGTAGGATTCCACACTGATGTTCCTGGCAAGTTTTTTTTAAATCCTTAATCTCTTCTGGGCTGTCAATGCAAGAAACTTGACGCTAATGCGCAAGTTGACAATTTATGAACAAATGTTCCTGCACCTATTCCCTTCTTTCTCGTCTCCTTCCTATCTTGAATAGCGAAAAACAGATGGATCGAAGGCTGCTATGAAAAAAAGACCTTCCGGAAGAAATCATCAGAGAGATAACAAATCTTCTGCGGTGCCCCCGCGCACTTGATTGGCGTGTTCGGAAATGTGTAGATAGCAGTGCCGCCACGGAATGAGTTCAGTTCACGATTCATTTTCATGGTCAGTTCTGCAGTGTACACACTGTTCACTCGATCGCACTTGAATGCTTCCGGCAATCCTTCAATCTGAAAGAACTCGTGAAGAA